GTCGAACACTTGTAGCTGCAAAAAGCAGGTTTATTCGCTTAATTAACTTGACACCAGGAAACGAGCTTCCGTGAATTCTGTTTAAGTGGACTCATAATGCGGTCAGGAAGGCCTCGCTATGTCGAGTGACCAACTGTGCAAAGCCTTGTCTTCGTCGGCAAATGTGATACTTTACTTAAAAATATCGGTAAATCTTTGAAACTGCGAATATCCCCTGAATATAAACTCGAAAACATGGCACTGAATTGCAAATGTATTTCAATTTGTACTATTTCTTAGTTAGATATCTTAGGTGTTCCGTATAAATTAACATGGGGTATTCTCGTCTGCCAGCTTTCTTGACAAGTCAATAAAGTCATTATTATTATTACAGCTGTTGTCATCCATCTAAATGGAATTGGTATAAATATACTAGAATAACTTTCCCTTATAAGCCACGCCACTCACTATTTATTCTGTTGTAGATAGTGAGTAGCTTAGCCGTGTGCGGTTCTTGAAGGAGCTTAGTCACGGTATTTTGAGTTATTTTGGCCACGCGCAATTGAACGAAACTTGAAAATAGTAGTTTAGTAAGATATAAAAACACCAGCGAGGTATTAATAAATCTTAAAAAACAAGGATAGAGAAGATTAACACGGACCACAAACGACGAACTTGAANGACAAGTTACGATCAAAAACATATCTGGATAGAACGTACACCCACGTGTGTTCATTCCAGATGATTTCCCTCTCTAGTTAAAAACAGCCCGAGTGCTTTATAATGTGCGCCATTGATAGCTGCAAAAAGCAGGTTAATTCGCTTAATTAACTTGACACCAGAAAACAAGCTTCCGTGAATTCTGTTTAAGTGGGCTCATAATGCGGTCAGGAAGGCCTCGCTATGTCGAGTGACAAACTGTGCAAAGCCTTGTCTTCGTCGGGAAATGTGATACTTTACTTAAAAATACCGGTAAATCTTTGAAACTGCGAATATCCCCTGAATATAACCTCGAAAACATGGCACTGAATTGCAAATGTATTTCAATTTGTAGTATTTCTTAGTTAGATATCTTAGGTGTCCCGTATAAATTAACATGGGGCATTCTCCTCTGCCAGCTTTCTTGACAAGTTAATAAAGTCATTATTATTATTAGAGCTGTTGTCATCCATCTAAATGGAATTGGTATAAATATACTAGAATAACTTTCCCTTATAAGCCACGCCACTCACTATTTATTCTGTTGTAGATAGTGAGTAGCTTAGCCGTGTGCGGTTCTTGAAGGAGCTTAGTCACGGTATTTTGAGTTATTTTGGCCACGCGCAATTGAAGGAAACTTGAAAATAGTAGTCTAGTAAGATAGAAAAACACCAACGAGGTATTAATAAATCTTAAAAAACAAGGATAGAGAAGATTAACACGGACCACAAACGACGAACTTGAAAAATTTAGGCTTAACTTTCCAAGACGCACAAACCGTGACGTAGCGCCTGTAACAAACTGGCGGCCGCCTCTCGGCGTTTTCGAAGTGCCTGCAAAGACGATTTGGATAATTTACTATATTCCCTCGATTAAATGCCGGGTCCCGAATAAACGCATGGTCTCTAAGGCAGATAATATTTGGCTCTAAAAAATGAATAGCAACTATTATCGAAAGTGGCTTTCAAATTCAATGACTGTATTCCGCTTGTTTTTCATTAATTTGTTCCTGTTGAGTTACATCAAAATATAAGTGGCAACGGGCATTCTTGCCCTTTGTCCTTGACCGCAAAAATTAGTAAAAATTTAGTTTCCGTTTCTCATAAGGAATTTTGAGTTCATGTCGAGTTCCTCGAAATCCACTTTTGATAATTAAGAGTCGTGCTTATATCAAAAATTCACTCCTAAGATTCAAGAATCTGTATAACATTTCCTTCAGGAGTGTAAATTTGGTATGTCCAAGAAAAAAAAAAAGTTCAGGACTTGACTCGAAATACCAAGCGCTTTACTAATCTTCCCCAAGCATCTATCATTGTAGTTTTATCGCACATGTTCCAGCTAGGCAGTAAAACCACAACAACTTCTGTAACTAAATAGTCTAGACTTGTTTGAGATGACCTTCTTGAAAAAACAACTTTTTTTAAACAGAAAGAAAACACTGGACACGTGTGAGTCGTGTGCGAAACATGTGAGAATTCAAATAGCAATACAAATCCCGTAGAGCCGGCGCGGTTTTCATTTGAGTTTCGTGAAACCACAAGCAAACCAATTATTTACCAATTAGACTACTCAGTCAATCTCAAACTGGAATAAAACCAAAACCAAAACCAAAACCAAAACCAAAACCAAATTAATTGCTTGATTACTTCTACAACTCAATTGAAAAGTGCTCTACTCATTTTTAAAGTTCGCAATGCCAGGTCTGCAAAGTATAGTGTACCTAAAGCTCGCGGAGGGAATGGAAGGAGGGTGGGGAGGGTGGGGAGGAAGAGGAAGGAGGGTAAGGGAACTCCCACGTGAACTTCCACGTCGTCTCACTTAACGTCACTATTTTTAGCTGCCAATAAACACTGTCATATCACTGTGATATCTTTGGGAGGTGAAATAAATCACGAGGCACGTCCAGAATGGTCTCCTTTTGGAGCTTCATTCAAATTTTTCTGACGAGTATCTCCGACCTTTACTCATGGGAATTTCCACCCCCAGGACCTAAAGGCTTACTGGATGGACTTTAGCACTCTTTTTGTTTGTTTATTTAGAAGATGTTAAACTGTACAATTCTGCTATTTCTGTTACAACCCTCTAAAGTAAAAGTGGGTCAGTTAACACACTCAGTCAGGTAGAACTGAGAAAACTTACCACTGGAAACTACAACGCTTAATAGTCCAAATGTTTGTAAATAGCGGTATTTGTTATAGAACATGTAAACTTCCCATCCTTTCTCCTCTTTCCTCTAACCTTTTTTTAATTCTCATCGTCTTGCGCCACAGTTCCCGGAAATGGCTACAAATGTCTTTATAAGCTTGTGTGGCATTATACCGTTTTTTTAAAATTAGACTTTGGGCAGTAAATTGAGCGCTGATACGCTCAATTTATTTTTGTATGAACTAGGCGAAGTCTTAATTAAGACATTTTTTAAGGTCAGTGAACTTGAAAATAAGTCTTTTGATCAAGCCGCTGTTTTGACAAGTTGCGATCAAAACATTTTTGGATATAACATGTATAACACTCCCATAAATTAAATCTCGACGATTTCCCTCTCGAGTTAAAAAGCAGTGCGGGTGCTTTATAATGCGCGGCATTGATATCGAAAGGTGCTTCAAGGCCAGTTATGGACGCAACAGACCTAAAGGACTAGACCGAACACTTCTAGCTGCTAAAAGCAGATCTATTAGCATAATTAAGTTTGCATCAAGTAATGAGCTTCCATAAACTCTGAACTAAAGAGGGCTCGTAAGGTCGCGCTATGTTGAGTGATTGACTGTGTAAAGGACCTAGTCAGCTCGTGTGCAACTTTTTCCACTTCTTCGCAAATGTGACACTTTACTTTAAAATATCGGTAAATCTTTAAAACTGCAAAAATACCCTGAATATAACCTCAAAAATGTGACAGTGAATTGCAAATGTATTTAAATTTGTACTAATGAAAATTTATATAATTTAGATGTTTTAGGTGTCCCCTATTAGTAGGGGGCATTCTCCTCTGTAGGTTTTTCTTGGCACGTCAATAAAGTCATTATCATTACTATAGTTGTAGTCATCCATCTAAATGGAATTGGTATAAATAGACTAGCGTTCTATAACGAATACCTTTCTCTTATTGGCTACGCCACTTGCTATCTATTCTTTTTTGTAGATACTGAGTAGCCTAGCAATGTGCAGTTCTTAAAGGAGCTCAGTCACAGAATTTTGAGTTATTTTGGGTACGCGCAAAATTATATCTAAATTGAAGGAACTGAAAATAGCACTTTACTAAGATAGAAAAACACCAAAGAGATAATACTAAACCTTGAAGAACAAGAACGGAGAAGATTAACACAGATTACGAACGACGAACTTGACAATGATGCACAAGTCTTGACGTAGCTCCTTTAACAAACTGGCGGCCGCCTCTTTGCGTTTTCGAAGTGTCTGTAAAGAGGATTTGGATAATTTGCCGTATTTTCTCGATTGAATACCGGGTCCGGAATAAACGCTGGGTCTCCCAGGCAGTTTTAATAAATTTCAGTTATAATTACAGGATATTTAGTTCTCAGAACTAATGAATGAACACTTTAATAAATTCCAGGGGCCCATTTCTCAAAGGTCACGGAAAGTTTTCGCACCCTCAAAACCGTAGCAAAATCTCAAATCTTACATCTTAAATCTCCTTTTACATAAAGATTAACTAAAAGTGGCTTTGCGGACCCGAAAAGGTTCCGAGGCTTTCGAGAAATAGGCCTCAGGATAGAATGAACCGCAAAAGTCAAATAAAAGCCGGATCCAGCACGTAGCTAAGTTTGAAATATAGGCCATCGGTACAAGTCAAGGGAATAGGAGAGATCAAAGACAGATACAATTGTATCCTTGCTGATGTGATCCATTTATATCATAATTTAATTAAAAAAGCGTGAATCTGTCTGGTTATTTACGTTTTGACCGACTGGTAGATTTATACTAAAACAATTAGATTATTCGTTCTCGATTCCTATGCGTGATGTAGAGATGACAAGAGCTGCGCCCTCGTCAACTAACACACGATAGAAAACTCGAGCTCATAATCTAAGTGTTAGTTAGTAGTAACAATTTATTTTCTTAACGACTGTTGAAAGTATTTGCCGACCCTTTTTTTAGTAAGTAATGCTATTAATTTTGCCCCAGCATTCCTATTTATATATTTTTTAGGAAGTTTCAAGTGGGGATAAACCTCTTAGCAAGCCCCCTTACGAGGAAAAGGGTTTTATTTCTGTATCAGATTTTGCTAAAAAAAAAAAAATCAAATAGTTTTAAATCGGATGAAAGAAGGGATTATAAAAAGCTTTCGTTAATGGTGCATAGGAACGACAAAACAAGTATAAATGAGAGTTGCAAACCAGTAGATCGAGAGTGGGCACTGACTTCAAACCACTGAAGATGCTTTCGCACAAAAATGGCATTGTGGCTCTGTACATTCTGTTTACACTACTCTACTCAATTGCGAGTGTAAAACGCAAAGATTCTGGTTGGAAGCAATTAAAAGCCTCACTAAACGCCAAGGCTGTGAACCTTTCCGATGGAGCTGCCAAAGTTTTCCTCACGAATCTCTACAAAAACTATTTCAACGAAACCGGACAAGTGAAGAGAACAAATACAACTATCCCAGAAATCATTCATTCTGTGCAAGGAACAGGTATGATATATTATTTACTAATTTTATTCTGAATAAATGATACTGATTATAGTTGTGGTAGCACAAGACAAGTTCTTTGCATGTGCTCTTTCGTCACGTCCAACGTTATCAGATTCGGGTAACTTATGTGTCAACGTGAGCAAGAGAGCTGGTAAGCAGAGCATGTTTCTGTGTAAGTTCTTATTTGTTCTGCTGCACGTTCTGACGCTATTTTCGATATTAAAGTAGGCACAAAAAAACACTGATTTGGACTCTAAGTGGTCGAGAATACCGTTTCTGACACCGACTTAGTTTTCTCGAGGACAGCCGGTGTATCACACGTACAAATAAAACAAGACCAAAAAGCGGCTACTAAAGTTTCTTTTGTTTTGTTTCGTAGCTCCTCTTCGTGGAGACTTAAGGAGTAATGCGCCTTTAGCATGAGCTGCTCAGCAATTGGTTAGCGTTGCTAATATTTTAACGCCAACTTAACTATTATTCTGCACTTTGTTCTTTTTATAGTTTGCGTTAAAACCAACGTTATTCGTTTCAACATGAAAGGGATAAATGCTAAAGAATACATTCAAAAGGCTGAGATCCGGGCAAAAGTTGACTACTCCACTGATCAAGACCAGAATGCGAGTCACCCAGTCAAACTGGGCCTTTACGACAAGACCGCAGGTGTGCTGATATCAAAAGCGGTTTTGCATGGACGAGATCCAACATGGACGGTATTTATGGTCCCTTCTGCTGATGTCGCGCGATGGCTGCGTTCTCCGCACACCATCCCTGAAGTTCGGGTTGAGGTACTGGCAGACAGCGACAAGCAGAAACCTGTTCCAAAAGTACTGATGCATGGCGGCAGGAGCGGACCATTTCTGGTGGTGTATACCGATGCAAGGCGATTGCACGGTGTAGAGGATAGTCCTTTTATAAGAGAGTGAGTTCATTACCATAAGGTTACCTCTTTTTTATCAATTCGGGTGTTGGCTTGCTCTTGAACATTTTATTGCTTTGAATCTCTGAAGGCAATTACAGTAGAGCCATGATATAACGATCCTTCTTTAAAATGAAGTTCTCGGTATAACCGACTCTAAACTCCAGCCCATCCAAAGGTACAATGAAATGTGTGAAACGAAATCCCATCGCTGAAATTGAACGTAAATCATATTAACGAGTTCAGATGTACATTACGGTCCTTCAGATCTTTGCAGTTAATTGTTTAATGGCCAGTTCTCTTTTCGAGATACTCCTACAGGGAATCATGGTAGTTGTATTCATCAACACGAATATGCAGTCAAACAGAACAGCATTTGAGATGTTGGTGTAGATATTATTTGGGTTTAAGTATTGAAACGAGGAGCTTTCAGAACACAATCCCTCGTTGCCACTGTCTGAGATCTTAGACTGGACTTATGTCATAATTCCCTGGATGCGCATCTGACAGAAGGGATTGGGTGTTAAACGGAATTTTCAGCAGCGAAAAGTTGATTACACCGTTTGAAATTAAAACAGAAAACACAAGACGCACCTCGATATTGTAAGGTTGACTTTGGCCCTTTTTAGTCTATGATAACGTGGTTTCGTATATAATGATCCTCCTCCTTCCGGCTAGGTCAAACACTCCCTTGGAACGGCATTATATCAAGGTACCACTAATTCGAAATGCACTTTATACAATTTTGTTTGTTATCTATTTTTCAGTCGTTTTCGCCGAGATTCTAAGGCGAACACTAACAAGACGGCCGCAATTCCATCTCCCAACCCTGCCGATCTGTGCTCAAGGCGCGATTTGCATATAAATACCAAACACATCTTCGGCAATCTGATTATCGCTCCGGTCTCGTTTAACGCCTACGACTGCGCGGGAAAATGTGACGCGACCTACTCCCCAGGTAGCTTCAGCAATCACGCCATCGTGCGCTTGACAGCGGCGCAACACTGGGGACCAGGATCCCACATGACTGCGCCATGCTGCGTTCCCACAAACTACGGCAGTTTATTGGGTGTTTTGTACACCACACAAGACGGTCACGTGGTTCTTCGTCAATACAAAGATATGGTTGCCACGGAATGCGGATGTCGTTAAGATGGCCAGGCAGATTCCCGAAAAGCACGTGACTGAAATGCGCTTTGTAGGTGGCTGTCGCATATCTTGCAGCAAATACTGGACTAATCAAGTGTGATTTTGTTTCAGTACATTTATATAACATAGAATTTCTTGTAATGGTTAATAAATTTTGTTGTTAATGCATAAATTTATATTACATATGAAGCTACTACGATATGTTGCAATTTAAAAAAAAGAAATTAAAATTATGATTTGAGATATTGTCAGTTGTTATAATTGAATACCGTAAGAAAGAAATGCTGTACGCATAGAGAACATTTTTCAATTGCCTTCGCAAACTTTATTCTTTTCCCTTAGCTCAATTAAAATAGCTTAACCCTTTGAATAGCAACTAC